TCCTGGGGAACTATTAACATCATTATCATCATCACCATCTTCTTTGCAAAATGTGATGCTAAGTGACATATTAGATACACGTCTATCGCCTCCAAGAAGCAAAAATCTTATGAAGAATATTGTGGTTGCTACTACACTTGCACTAGCTTGCTTGTGTGCAAAACCCAAGTCTAGGCCAACAATGAAATTTGTGTCTCAACAGTTTGTTGCTTGCCAAATACCACTTAGGAAGCCTTTTCCATCTATTTCTATATTGGAACTAGTGAATAGTAAATTGGAGATGGAAAATGAAATAAAATCTCCACCAAAATTTTCAAGTCATCCAGCCAAATATCATGATTCTTCCTCGAACGAAATCCTTGATGCCTAATATTGAGAATCAAATGGCTACTCTGTTTTGACGAGGGATTGTCAATAAAAACAACTTGTTCCTCCTTTAGTCAATAAATGGAGTACCTTGCAATAAGTGTAATGCTTATATTTTACTTGTTATATAGTGTATATAGACATTGATGAACCTCTGAGATCCCAGAAGTCTTTTGGCCAAATCCTTCCTCTTCACCCTTCATATTATTTATTTTATTATTTATTTCTGTGGTCAACATCCTCAAATATTTTTGCTCTTAGTCAATACCCCCACAATTTTCAAAACAAATGAAAAATCCAAAATCTAACTGACAAGTCACGTGGCTTGCACGTCCCTATTACCTTCTGTTTCTTTTTTCGTTTACAAGGTGTTATTTTGATGAGGTGGCAACTATTTATTCTCCTGTGGCACTTTTTTTTGGGTTTCTTTAGTGACATGGTTAGTGGGTTCCACCAAGAGCAAAACAATTTTTTATTTCATAATTACCCTTCATTTCACCTTAAATTCACAAGATTTAGCCTTTTCTTCTTCACCCGTCTCTCTTCACTGCACAAAATCCATATTCTCAAATATTTAATTTCGCATAGCAATGAACAAATTCAAACTAAATTTGAAATTTACAAACTCAAATCATAGACAACTGATGATAATTACAGATACCCATGAATAAACAGAATCCTTGAGCCAGAGATCTCATCCCTACACCATCGTTGCAACTCAAAATTTGTTGTCTTTAATTCTTCTTATCATTAAAATAAAAAGCAAGCTTTTTTCATGTGACTCCTTCCATTGAATTAATTGAATGTCTAGATGACCAAACAAATTAAAAAAGCATTTGGATCTTAGTCCTCTGCATTCGAAGGAGTTAAAATGCAGAACAAGAAAAGAGAAGGAATGCCACAAAATGCAGTCTTTTATTTTGCTAGAAAAATTCAAGTAAAGATCTTTTAGATCTGATGTTGAGTCCTGATACTAAGACTATGGCATGAGTGCTCAGAATTCAAGTATAGATCTTTTGGATTTGTAGGGCTTAGACGATCCTTACCATTGGAAATACTAGATTTTTCTCAAAAAGATTGTCTCAAATTTCCTAATCCGCTGCTATGTTTCCTCGATGCATCAACTTGCCGAAATTGCCAAGTTAGGTAGGAGTCCCCAATCCTTGTCATCCCAGATGGGTCTCAAGAAACACTACAAGCAAAATGCCTTTTACCAACGGAAGGTCTATACTGACGGATTGAAATCCATCTGTATACATGGGTCTATACCAACGGAAACTATAAGCAGTTAGTATACACAAGTATATACCAATGGAAAACATAAACAGTTAGAATATATTGATCTATACCAACGGAGAAATATATCCGTTAGTGTAGATTGAGTTTATACAAACAGTTTACTAATTATCCATCTGTATAGAGTGTATAATTCACTGTTTATTAAACATGATTTTTTCCCCTTTTATTTTAGCCGTCTGTATACATTTTCCCTTCCCTCCCCAAATTCTAAGTTTTCCTCCACCTGTAGCCCTAAGTATTTCCGTCCCCCTCCTAAATCTCCAAAATTTGGAATCGATTTTCCTAAAACTCAAAAACCCATTCGAACCTAACTGCAAAATTCAAAAGCTCGACTCTAATCCATCAACGGCAGGAGGTCAGTTGGTGAGTTTGTGTTGATTTCGGGTGATTTCTTCCTAATCCTTTCCATTTCTTCTATATTCATGGGTTGATTTCGTTCAAGAGACAAGTATTTGGGTT